CCTGGCATCCCCGTCATGTTCTGGGAATTTGAGAGAAGGGAGAACAGCTTAGCTGTTGGCAGGAAAGAATAACAGGCCGGGGGAACGGGGGTGCATGCTGAAGTGAGTTGAGGGGAGTGGAAGTTTTAGGTTGCTGGGGCTAGTGACCTGATCTAGAAGGTCTTACAGAGGAGTTCCAAGGGACTGGCAGTGAGGTCAGAAAGGGGTCCCCCATTTTGTCTTTATACCTGCCCTTATATGGGCAGGTGGAAAAGGAGCTGGGAAGTGGAGCCGGACATCTACGTAGCTGCAGACCTTTCAGGAAGCCATGAGAGCCTGTAGGTGCCTGGAAGCCTTCCAAGTGCTTCATGTACATAATCTCTGCCACTCGCTACCCTGTGAACCCACACTACCCTTATTCCCACTTTATATGCATGGGGAAACCGACGCTCCGAGGTATTAAGTGACTGGCCAAGATGACACAGCTAGCAAATGATGAGCTGGGGCTTCAATCCAGGTTGCCAGAACCCACGTGACCCCCATGTTGTTCTGCATTGTGTATCCATTATATTCGTTCTCCTAATCTGGACTCTATGCCTAAAAGAGAAAGCTATGGAAGGAGAAATTGAGCATGTCTGCAGGAGTTGGGGTGGGGGATGCGAGGTCCAAAGAAAGTCATTCAGATGGATGCAAAGGAAGTGTCTCAGACCCACTTTCCCCCTAGCTACGTTCTCCTTCAACACTACTCTTTCCTTGTTTTTCTTTTCTCTGGGTTCTTTCTCATTTCCCCTCTCCTGGGAGACCTAGAGGATGACTGGGGTGATTGCCTGTTCACTGGACCTCCCACTGGTCCCATTCTCATTACCTGAAGGCAAAACCTCCTGCCCCCTCCTGCCCCACTCCCAGGCAACTGATGGGCCCAGGTTTTTCCTGGTTTTTCCTTCTCCGGATTCCTGAGTGAGGGCTGCCTGGTAGAATGACCACTCAACAGATGTTTAATCAGGACTGAGGCCTGCAGGGGGCAGGGGACAAGGGGAGTGTGTCTGAGGAAGACATCCCAAGACAGACAGTGAGACATCTTGGGGAACCATCGTGCCCCGCCCCGGGGCAGCCTTCACCCTCCCCTGACTGTCATCAGATGCCTGGAGGTGTGTTAGGACAGATAAATGATAACAGTTGCCCTACCTGCTCTTGATCCATTATATACATGCACGTTTTTAATCATTACAACAGATCTATGAGATAGGTCTTATTGTCATCCCATTTCACAAATGAGGAAGCTGAGACACAAGAAGGTTAGATGGCCTACCCAAGCTCCCCCCTGACTAGGAAAATGGAGAGCAGTGGGTTCTACCCAAGCCAGCAGGAGTCCTGTATGCTCTGTCATTCTGCAATCCTGCCTCTCAAATACATTGCCAGTTCCCACAATGGAGGAAAAGCCTTTACCCAGAGTCACTCCCCACATAGCTGGGTGCATGGGCTCCAGAGGGAAGGGGAAGGAGAGGCATATGATGGAAGCTGAAGGGCAGGCCCCTTGTAGCAGTCTCCCCATATAAGGAACTCTCCTCCGGGGTCTGAGCCTCCTCCAGCTCTGCCCCGGTTCCCTTCAGGAGGATGGCAGAGGGCTGCAGAGGCCCCCAGGAATAATGGAGGAGGGTGCACGGGTCAGGAGAGCTTCTGGCCCCCTGGTTTGGACTTGGCTCTCTCCCACCCACTGAGGTCTCTCTGCTGAGCTGTCTACTCTCCGAGCCCACAGCTTCCTGGATCTTCCCAGGTGCCTCATGGTAGGCATGTCTGGACTCCTTCCTCCTGCTCTGCATCTCCCCCCATAGCTCCCTGCTCCAGGAGCCCCACCACTGCCTAAGCCACCAACTAGATTCCTCCCTCTCTGCTTCCACATCCAATCAGCCATGCCACCAGCTCTGGCTGAGCCAAGGGAAGACTACTCTGTTACATTCAGCCCTTTTGCCCTGGGGCCTGCTACTAGTGTTCTGGCCCAGGGTGGCCTCTTCCAGCACTCACTACATGCAGGGTGCTAGGTCACTTTTCATCCCCAGAGCACTCTCTACTTGCAAGTGAGGACACTGAGGACACTGAGAGAGGTGCAGTAAGCCACCTGCAGCCCCACAGCGGAGTTCGGTAGAGCCAGACCCAGGCAGCCAGACTGCCGAGCGCTCATTCCACCACTCTTGGGGACTGCCTCCCCACTGTGGCTCTCAGCCTCGCCCTCCTCACTGTCCTGTGCCGGGCTGCGAATCCTCAGTTCATTCTGACACATTTACCCAAGGGCCAGGAACGCTGCTCTAAGCTAGGAACCCAGAAGGGAGCAGACCCCAGGCTGCAGGGCACAAGGCCCCGGGGTTGTGGGGGCACAGGGCCAAGTGGAATTTTCTTTATCTCCTTAAAACACCCATCTGGTCAGGCCTCCCTTGCCCAGCACAGTATCTGATGTAGAGATTAACAGTGGAAATGAAATGAATGGGAACTGTGGGAGACCAGCTGGTGCCCACCAATCCCTGGGGCCAGGGCAGGGGGAGGGGCTGCTTTTCCCCCCTGCCAGTGGTCTAGCTTCCGGGGCATCTAGTTCCATCTCCCTCCCTCCTCACTGCTTCCCTGCCATGTACTCTGTCCTCCTGTCCTGTGCAGCAGACTTCGCTCACAGGCTCAGCTCTGTCATCTGAGGTTGGTGGGGGGGATGGGCAGCGGGAGGTTAGAGGAAGTTTTAACTAATGGCCCTCCGTGGGACTGCAGGAAAGGGCCAGGTTGGAAACCAGGGGATGGAAGGGCTCTGCCTGGGAACCTGGGCCTGCTGCAGCCTCCCTCCGCATCGCTGGGATTCTACCTGGGCCGTGGCCGATTGACAAGGGAGAGGAACTTGAGCCCAATACCCTTGTGGGGGCTCTGCCTCCTGGCCCTGGAAGGTTTCAAGTCCTCCCAGACCTGCCCAGGTACCTTGCTCTGAAGGTGGTTTCAGTTCAGTTCCCACCTCCCCTCCCTGCCCATTCCTGGGGTGGGGGGCTGAGGCCCAGAGCTGGAACACTTAATGGGCATGGAGCCAAACCTTCTCAGGACCAGCAGGTTCCAGCCCGGTGCTCACGGGCCACTTTGACAGCAGTGGAGCAGGAGGAGAAGAGCAACGGGCTCCTGGCAAGCTGGGAGGGAAGGCTGGACAGGGCTGGGGACCGGGGACAATCTGACCGAGGCAACAACAGGGACCCCATCATTTCCTGGAAGCATATTCTCCTGGCTGGTGCTCAAGCTAGTCATGTGTGACGGGGGCAAGGAAACAATCACTGAGCAGGCCTGTGGTGGTGACGGTGGTGGCCGGAGGGTGAGGAGAGGCCGGGAGAGCAGGAGGGAAGGCAGGGACAGGTCTGGAGCTGCGTGGGAGGGAACAGGCCTGCCTAGCAGGCAAATGTGCTGTTCTATGAATGTGCATAAAGTAGGAGCTG